CACAAGCCTGCCAGAGTCTGTAATGAGCTCCCCCTTGTGAGGAAGCATTTCATGCAGGTTGTGAGTGAGTCCCTGGGATTTCAGAGTGTTTTTAACAGCATCCGTGTCTCTTTACTGCGACCCTCCTTATGTGTACGTCTCAGTTGTACTCATTATTACGTATCGCGTTCTTTTGGACTTCAGAGTTGCACAGCTGTCAGTTGTTGTAGCTGAGGCAGAATCAGGTAGAAATTCAGTTTCTATTGATGATATTTTATTCTACAACATTGGTGAACTAGTCTAATTACTCACTGAAAAAGCCCTTCCTTGTACTTTGTTTCTATATTATTCTATCACACTTACAGGCTTAAATGCATTTAAAAGCTAACCGTATATGGCTCCAGTGAAAATTGTTTTTGTTTTTTGAGACAAGGTCTCTGCATAGATCTAGCAGTCCTGAACTCACTATATAGACCAGGATGGCCTCAAACACAGAAAAATCTGCCTTACTCTGCCTCTTGAGTGCTGGGATTAAAGTGGTATGCCATTATCACCAGCCAAATTTCTTCAATTTTATATAAATGAATAAAATAAAATTAATTTATAACATTTCTCTTCGTCTCTTCCCACGGCTTTGCACTTCTCTCTCTCCTTTCTATTTTTCTCCTCCCTGTCTCTCACTCTTCCTCCTCCTTGTCCCTCTCCCTTCTCCCTGCCTCTCTCTCTCTCCTCCTCTCTGTTTCTCTCTCACTCTTGAAGAAAATGTGTCAGATCATAGACTGAAAGCCGATTTCTTTTGTGGATACTACAATGTCTCACTGAAGCCCTTCTCTGAATGCTTGCCAGACTCTCTGGCCCTGAAAACCCTCAGTCCCTTCTGGATGCCCTTTGCATCAGCACAGTTCCCAAGCCTCTAGCTCTTTCTTGTCTTCAGCCTTCCGAGAAGTCACGTGACTCTATCCATGTTAAGAAAAGCAGGTACCATGTGAGGGAACTTGGCATGTGGAAGCTTGCTTCCTCTAACGATGCATTACTATGGTAACAGGCCAAATGAGAAAATCGTAGAACTGACTTTTGAATTAGCTGCAATTTCAGCGTAGCGCTAATGCACATGCATGTTATTTCACTTTCCTATCAACTCACCTTTTAATCGTTGTGATATCTTTTACTAGCACACTTGATATTTGGTATGGAGTCATGAATAATTATACTAATATTTAAACTATGGTGGAACCCTAACTTTTATCACATGACTATAGCTGTAGTAGCAGAGTCAGATGGTTAACAAGACATGCATTTTCAAAAGATGAAAAATAACATAATTATTATGGTTGGCTACTGTCTTACAGTTCACACACACATGAGGGTTTTACTTGAAAAGTAACTTAATTTTTACTGTATCTGGTGAATGCATGCTCAGCTGTATATTGCTTGATCGTGTACATGAGATAGGCCGTTTGTGCAGAGGTAAGGATTACCGTGGCTCGGGGTTTCTATGCGTGGCTGCCTGGCTCCATTGCTTTTGTGCCTGTAGTGAGACATAGCATCATGATCGGGACCATGTGTTAGAGCTGAGCTGCTTAACCTCACAGTGGCCAGAAAGGAAGGAAGGGGAGGGGCTGACTGCCTGTGACCTGACTGCCTCCCAATAATCCCCACCTCCTCAAGGGCTCACCCTTTCCCACTACTGCACAGGCAACCATTTACACTGTTCCAGAGCCAGACTGTAGAAATGCAGAAACAACAACAAAAAATAACAGTTAATCCAAAAGTTACTAAGCATAATACAAAGATAAAGATACCCCAGAGTGTTCTATGTGTGTAATCTCAGTGAGTCAACTACAGAAGACACTTGCTGACAAATGTAACATCAGGAGCAAAGTAGACAGCTGCCACTGCAGCCATTAGTGATCTGCTACAATGACCTGGTGGGTTCCGTGGCTACCCAGCATTACAGAGAATTTCAGTACGCTATACTACAATTCTGTATTATTTTTTGGTAAGGTATTTAATTAAGCTGGTGGCAGGGAGAGCAGATCATCTCTAAGGAAAAAAAAAATAATTGAAATTGTTTAAAGTTTGGCTTCCTGAGTCTAGTTGGACCACACTTTGAGAACTGGATGGAGTGCTGTTAGTGTCCGCCCTCAGAGTGCCTGGGTTCACAGTCAAACTGATGTGCCTGCAGCTCTAGCCTGAAAGAAGCTGTGTAGGGACCCTGTTAGAGGGAACACCAGTAGTCCATACCTTTGTCTTTATCAGCAGCGATAGAGTACAGTCAGCACATATTTTGGTACTTGAGACAGGAAAACAGGTCTTGACAAGGCAGGCTAAACAGTGTTCTGAAATGAAGGAAATGTGGGTTTTCTGAGAAGACCCTTGCCAGCAGTTGAGAAGGCTACTGCAGAGGAGCAGAGGGCATACCAGAGACTTGTTCTCTCAGAGTTTAGCTTCTGTCTGACATTAACCTTTAAAATGAAGAGTACAAAGCTGAGAAAGCCTGGCTCAGGGAAAGAATGCTTGTCTAAGAATTGGGAATCTGGGTTCTATCTCTATCACTGCAAAAATAAGCATAATTTCCATAAGTACATATGACTTAGATTTTAATAGCTTCTCTATAGTCTGCCTCAAATTCTTAATGTTTGGAGACTACTTTAAAATTTAAGTATTATTTACCCTTGGAGAGAGAATTTATATAAACCCTTGTATAAGAATACAACCAAAGTTAAAATACTTTTTAGTTTACAGTAGTCTTCATAGGACTTCTATCAAATATTTGTAATTTAAAATTGAGTTAAGAAAAAAAAAAGAATACAAAATTGTGCCTCAGGTTAAAATCCTGGAATAAAACTATATTTATAAGTAAAATTGTTACATGAAGTATATTAATTTAGTAACCATATTTACTAATAATATCATTACCAATGAACTACAATCTTAGAACACACACATAATCTTTGTGCCACTTTTAAATACGTACTCTGTGCTGAGCATTGTGCAAGTACTTTATGAGCAATACCTAGAATTTTAGTTTATACTTGTTATAACCTTGAAATCAAGGCAATGTACATGTACCATCTGAAGATGAAGACATTTTCCATGGTTAGGTAATATACCCCTAGCACAGCAGAGCTCCCATCCTCAAACAGGGTACAATGTACTGGAGCACACAAGCTACATATAAAATTTATGATTAAGTTTTAAAACAGGCATCACAAGTAAATGCAAAATTATATGCCATATAGGAAGTAAATGGCACGAATTAGAAGTGTCTCTACTTCTTGAACCTTGAGGGGTCAAATATAAAATAGTATGTGGAAACTGCTTACCACAGAGCACAGCACAGTGGACATTGTTAACTATAAGTAGCCCTTGGATGCTTGCAAAAAGGAGGTATTGAGAGGTACCTGCTGTACAAAGTCTGGGTGGAAAAGAAAGTAAAATGTAGTGCAGAGATTCGGGATGTTCAAAATCCATCGTTGCAGTGACACAGCGGGAGAGCCCACTTGCACCTATAGATTGTAGTGGTGTCTTACAGGCTTTGACTGGCAGGCTGCACTCTAGCTCTTCTCTCTTCTCTCTTGGTGGCCATTCCCGTTTAGTGTTTCCATCTTCTGCCTAAGGTCCTCAGTACTCTCAGTTTGTAAGGCACAGATTTTTCCTTTGGTGTGCAAGGTTGCCAAGGCTACTCAAAGTTTCTCAAGCTATCTAGTACTGCTGCCTCCAACAACCAGACGCACTAGCCTTGGCACCAGAGTTCTGTCATCCAGTTTATAGCCTCATGAGTTTGGAAGATATCCTAGAAGTAAATTTTTATTCCTTCATATGATTAAATGGTAATGGTTTGGACTTTAGTATTTCTGGATGTTAGTTTTGGATATAAGCTCCTTCCTTAGAATTTGCTTATCCAGCTCGTTATTTTTGTATAATATACATGAATAATTTAATCTCAGAACAAAAAGTTCTTGAATATACTGTTTTAAAGCTAATTTCTTTGTAATGAGTAAATATATTAAATGTAGGTGTTTTATTATTTGAATATGTTTATTAGCCTTTCATATGTAAAGCTCATATTTTATCCCCTAAATAGGCTAAGCACCTTATATTTAATTATTCTATTTAAACTACATGTTTTTTTTTTTTTTTTTTTATCACCGAAGTACTAATGACCTTATTTAAAGTTTAGATAATAGGTTTTAGAAGCAAAATAATTGCCTACTGGAACTGAGAAAAGATAATGGTAGCTAAATCTCTTTCTTGGTGTTATGAACCTGGGACATTGGACATTCTGCAAGGCAGGAATATTGTGTCTTTGTTTTAACATCCAGCAAATGGTAGCTGTCCATGTAAGTGAGTGTCTATATAAGGAGAAGGGTACTGGCAAGGGGTCAGCAGCATATGGTTACTAAATTAATTGAGAAGGATGACTCGCAAGGTGTCAGGGAGATAGTTCATAACGTACCAAAAGAGTATATAAAAAAGAGCGACGTTAATGCCATTTTATAGGCATATTAAGGACACCCCAGTAACTAATGATCTTGATCTGGTGGTTCTTTTGAAATGTTAAGATCAGAATAGAGAGGGAAAAATTCACCACTACAGGAATTGCTTATATAATTTTCAGTAGTACAATTTTTATTGTAGACTATTTGAAAATAACTTCCAATATACAGAAAAAAAAATGTTACCTGCTTATTTTTCTTCTTGACAAAGAGGAGTCCTTCATAATTTCAGAATTATTTTTATATTATTTGCCTATAAGCTGACGGGTTCCTTGTGGCGTTTTAACTTGTGCTTTGTTTTTGCTGATTTCCTTCTCTCCTGTCTCACCCCCATGCTCTGCACTTCCAGCCCTTTCCACTCACTGTCACATGTGTTCTGTTCTCCCAACCCACTTTCAGAGTATTCTTTTTAAAAAAATTAAAACCCGCCATCGTTCTGTCTTCCTTAAAGCTTTCATAGATTTGGAGAAGAAAGACTCATGTTGTCACCTCACCTCAGCTGTTTCCTTATGTTCCTTACAGTAGCACTCAGGAGACTTCTCAGCAGTCATCAGCCTCCTCGGGAGCTTCCCCGCTGAGAGCATCTGAGACCCTGGAGAGCCCAGGCTCCAGCAGGCCAGGAGTGGCCGGTGTCAGAACTGCTGCCGCTTTCAAGCCTGTAGGATCCACCAGTGCCATCAAGTCTCCAAGCTGGCAGCGACCAAACCAAGCAGGTACTGCAAAGAAATCTCATACTCTTGAAATTATGAAAATGTGTCCTACCATGTGACTTTCACTGGCAAATAGTTTGCTAGTGAAAACTAATCTCACTTAAGATTTAGGAAGACCTATAAAGAGTATTGATGGCTGCTCTGCTCTTCAGAATGTCCCCCTCTACCCTCTGTCTCATGCATACCCTTTGCTTATTCTGGAGACAGGGTATAGAGCAAAAGGGGAAGGGAGCACAGGGTACTGGAAAGAGGATTTTAACTAGTTACATGTAACACCTCTGGCTCAGTGAAGAAAGCTGACTTCTCAGTCACCTCTAGAGCTAAGAACTTTAAAGAAAATGACTCATCCCTCTGACCCATGTCTTCTGACATACAAAGTGTGGGAAGTCTAAACCATGTCCTGTTTCTCCAAAATAAGCAATGTTTGTGGTCATATGACAGAAGTAGCTCTGTTATAAGTCAGGTAGTAGCTTAGTTGGTCAGGTTTTTACCACATTAACCAGAAGATCTGAGTTTGGTTCCCAGAAATCATGTAAAAAAAAAAAAAAAGTCTACATAGTTGTTTGTGCTTGTAATCCCACCATGGGGAGACAGAAACAGGAGGATCTCTAGTGCATGCTAGCCTCCCTACCTGGCCTACTCAGCAAGTCCCAGGCCAGGGGGAGACACCCTGTCTCATAAAACCAGATAGATGGCACCTGGAGATCAACCGCAGGCTTGACCTCAGGCCTTCACAGCACATGTACACGCATGCATGGGTACACACACACACACTCACTACCTGTTTTAAAAGGATGGGACTATGCTAAAATGTTGCCAACTTCCAGTTCAGTGTCACATCATCTCAGTCTTTCCCTTCTCCTGGATGATGTGTCATCTAAGTTCCTTGTACTTCGTGACCATCGATTATTTGCCGTCCTGTGTCTGATGAACACCAGTATCCTCAAGCCTTTTGACAAGTTTGCTATGTCCCGGCAGTGTGTGTGAAAATGTGATTGCTACCCTGGGGAATAGTGTATGTGCTCGGTCATCATCAGCTGATTGTGAGCTTTCGACCATGCTTCATTCTCACGGTAACCGATACCGGAAGGCTCGCTGTTAGAGAATTTATCAAGCCTTTTTTTCTCCTGTGCCGTGAGAGCCATTGCTTTGGTTTGGGCCCTCATTAATTTGTTGTTGCTTGTGTACCTCATGTCACAGTGCCGTGTGTTACATGCTATTGGTTCTTTGGAGACGCTCAAAGAACATTTGTGCCTCTATATGCATGGAAGATTGGCCCAAGGCTCACTTTCAGATGCACAAATCCTTACTTGAAATGACATGATATTTGTGTTCCCTGTTGGCCAAAGATGTTGAACACTTTATTAACCATTTGTATTTCTTCTCAGGAAGAATACTGTTCAGTTCCATAGGCCTTTTGGAGGTTATGTCATTTGTTTTCTTGATGTTTACTCTTTTGAGTTTTTTGTCTGTTCTAGGTATCAGTCCTCTGTTAGATATATGTGGTAAAGGTTTTTTTTTTTTTTTAATCATTCTATAGGGGTCTCTTTACTTGAGTGACTATTTCCTTTATTGTACAAAACTTTTTTAATTTCATGGGGTCCCATTTATCGGTTGTTGGCCTTATTTTCTAAATAGTCAGAATCCTATTCAGAAAGTCTTTACCTATGCCTGTGTCTTTGATGTACTCGCTATTTTTCTCGGGCAGCAAGAACAGTAGCCACAGTTTTATTCACAAGACTGACCCCAGATGGGCCTACCACTATTTCATATTGGTTTTGCAGTAGGCTTATGGGCCACACTCTTCCCTGGGAAGCTGTTACCATTTAGCGGGTTGCCAGGGATGGGCACACTATTTTTGTCAATGGTGTAGCCACTAATTAAGCTGACCAAAATCCAGTGAGTGGTCTCCATCCATGCTTATACGCATACCCCTTGGAACTGAGTCACCAAAGCATGCGTGCATCCTTCTGCCTGCTTTAAACTGTCCCTAGATTACCTACACTATGTAATAATGTAATTGATATGTAAATATTGCTATACTATCTTGTTTAGGAGATAGGACGTTATGAAGAAGCTTCTAGGTGGTTAGTCCCACTGCTTTTCCCCTCAAATATTTTCTGTCCATTGATGGTCGAACTTGCAATATAGAAACTTCAAAATGGAGGGCTGACTCTATCTGTGTTGAGAGGGAAAGAGGAAAGGTCATGACACAGACTTCTTTACAAGAAATTAGACTGCTTGTATTATTTCTAAAGACAAAATGCTAAGACTGGCCTCTAACACTTGTAGACCACTGCCAGAGCAAGACCTGTTTCTCTGGGAGGAAAATTGTAGTAAAGCATAGCTACACTGATTTATTTCCATTCATTCAAGCCCTTGAATTGTGACAGGGACTCACTGTAGTCGTTTTACATCTATATTTAATACCAAAAAAAATTTTTAAGGAAAATGGCTTTGATAGAATTGGAAGTTGACAGAACAGTGTCTTATAAAATGAAAAGGACTAAATTCCTGAGGTCAAAACTGAGGTGCTGATAGAAAACATAGGGCAGTTCAAAACCTCATGATAAAATATTCTGCCTCTTTAAGTAAAAGAATTCCTGGAGAAAATACTGCATTAAAACTACCACAAGAGGGCGATAGAGTCCTTTCTCCTGAAAGTCTAATGAGCGCATACTCAACTCAGACAAATAACAGCAACTGTAATCATGACCCATATGTTTAGTATCTAAAACATATTTTTAGAAACCATACATAATTTAATATGAGAAATATTATAGCCTCACAAAATATCATAAAACATCAAACAAAGTATTGTCAAACAAAAATATTTCTCTGTTGTGAAATTGTAATTGAATCGCATCATGACCCTTAGCTCATATTAGAAAATATTTTTGTGACAATGCTGTTACATAGTCTGAGGAAGACATAAAAATAAACATTTAATGTTTCCTTACTAAATGAGTGCTAATTAATTTACATTATTTTGTAGTTAAAAAAGAAAGAAAGAAACAAACAAACCAAAACCTGGTTCCCAGGCTCTTATGTTTTTATCATACCATACCTGGTAGTATGTAATTTAAAAGAATAAAACAAAGCCCTTTGGAATCCACTATCAGTTATTTAGCAGTTCTAAGAGATTCCTAATGGTTTGAAGGTCCTTTGGAATTAGGGCACGGTCAGTGGTTCTTGTGTATCTCACAGCTCACCTGTGAAAACAGCAGTGCAGGTCAAAGGGCTTCGAACCTTGATGTGCAGGCCATGTGACATTGCTGCTGCCACGCTAAGAGCTCCATGCTTGTTTTCCTAGTCAGTTCACAGCTTTGCTCTCTTGTCCAGAAAGGAAAGAAAAAACAGATTTGATCTAATTATTTCAAAGCAACTTCAACAGTGTCTGGGAGAGAGGATCAAAGTGACCGAGTTCTCGTCTGTGATCAACTTGTTTGATTCTAAAATCAGTTTAATAGCTCGGAGATAGCATTTATTTAGCTCTGCTTTGTTGGGACATATTTGTACAGCTTTATGGAGTACATTTTGACAATTTGGCACATGTAACCATTGTTTGATGATAGAAGCAGTGATAAGCACTTCCATTTCTTGAAAAGCTCATCATTTTATTGTGTTGGAATATTGTGCTCTTGTGTGTAGCCAGCAAGCCCACCAAATCTCATAGAATGGTGCGGAACATGCGAGAGTCTTTTGACATGCTTTTTAAGAATGCTGTGAGTAGCTGCCATGTTGTAGTCATATTTCTTGCTATGCTTACCTAAGAAAACAAGGGGATGTCCAAAGGCCAACACACAGATGTGCTTCGAGTTGCACCTTTTCTTTATTAAGCTGGTAAAGTTTTAGATAAGAACCTAAAAAATCAAAACAAAACAAAGGATGTTCTCAAAAATGCTTGTTGAAATTATTAGGTATTCTAATATATTTTGAGCCTGCCCTTTGGGTCTGTAAGTCTCCTCAAGTTCTGTCTTTATTAGATGCTTCACTTGTGGTGAGGTGTAGGTTGTTTATGGTATATACTGTAGTACATAGTGTGTGTGTATAGTATTTAGTACAGTATATGGTATAATATACAGTATACACTATAGTGTATAGTTGTATATAGGATTCACTAAATAGTATATAGTTACATATAGTACCCAGGTACCTTCCAGAGTCACAGTAATGCTAGACCAGATGACAAATAGGAATAAAGGATGTAGGTAGCAGCATTATAGTTCAAACTGGTCTGTGTTTCTCAGGAATATGGTTCAATGTGCACCTCAGCGTCACTGCCACTTCATTTAATCATTAAGCACTTGCCAGCCATTCACAAGACGCTAACTATTTTGGAGATGCAAATGTTTAAAAGTTCATAGTCTAGATGAAAATATTAAGATACAAAAGTAGTAAGAGTTCAAGTAGTAAAAAGTTCAGGTATAAGAAAAGTAGTGAGAATTCAATTTGCCTATTTATATATAATATGACTTTTGTGAATAACATGCAATGATCTCTTTAGAAACAGTCACCTATCAAAAACTCAAGTGACAACATATCCTGGAGAGGTTGTGGAGAAAGGGGAACCCTCCTCCATTGCTGGTGGGAATACAAACTTATACAATCACTTTGGAAATCAATCTGGCGATTTCTCACACAATTAGGAATAGCGCTTCCTCAAGATCCAGCTATAGCACTCCTAGGCATATTTCCAAAATTTGCTCAAGTACACAACAAGGACATTTGCTCAACCAGGTTCATAGCAGCTTTATTTGTAATAGCCAGAAGCTGGAAACAACCCAGATGTCCCTCAACTGAGGAATGGATACAGAAATTGTGGTACATTTACACAATGGAATATTACTCAGTGACTAAAAACAAGGAAATCATGAAATTTGCAGGCAAATGGTGGGATCTTGAAAAGATCATCCTGAGTGAGGTATCCCAAAAGCAGAAAGACACACATGGTATATATTTATATGGACCTTATAAGATAGGATAAACATACTGAAATCTAT